TCCAAAAGGCATGACATATTCAAAATATCCATACTTAATTTGAAACACAGTCTTTCATTCATCTCTTTTTTTAATACATACAAGATTGTATACTCCCCATAGATCTATTTTTGTATAGATCTTAGCTTAATTTAATTGATCTAGAAGTTCGAATATCAAAGATAGAAGATACCTATTCTTCATGGTGATCTTGTTAAGTCCTTGATAATCAACACATATCCGTAATGACCCATCTGTCTTCTTCACAAATAAGATTGGAGCTTTTACTGGTGATTTGGAATGGCATATGAAATTCTTGGCCACATTCTCTTTAATATATTTCTTGAGCTCAGCCAATTCATTTTGTAATAAACTATACATTGGTCTAAATGGTAGTTGTACTCCTTCTTCAAGGTCAATTGAGCAGTGATAGGGACGATGTTTTGGAAGAATATCTGCATTCTTTTTCTCAAATATATCTTTAAATTCTTGATATTGGTTGGGAATGCCACTTGAAGTTTCCGCATCATTAAAAACAGGTGTGGCATAAATGACACAAGATGATCTTTTTTTTGCAACATACAAGAAAGCTCTTGTACCTACAAATATAGGTTTAATTGTATTAGACTTATAACTTTTTAGTGGATTAATTTTACTCTTAATTATACTTTTAGAAAAATCAAGGATATGAGATATCTAATCTATGCAAGGATCATACTTTTTTAACTATGATAAATCTAAAATGACTAGATTAAAGGGAGATCTAATTATATTAAATATTACGCAACTACTATGACCATTTATTGCTACATCTATAGTAAGTGTTTCATGAGTAACATCTCCAAAATACAACAAATGACTATCTATGACTTCTACATGAATAGGTTTGATTTTTTGTACTAAGAATATTTTATGACTTTTAACAAATTTTATGTTTAAGAAACAAGTTGTGGCTCCTAAATCTATTAAAATAAAGGCTTTATAATTATTAGATCCTAAATGCACATCTATTATAAAATAAAGAGAGGGTTTTGAAGAGAGGATAGGACCTTCATTAGAAATTATATAAGATTCCAGCCGCATAGTCCTTATTGTAGCTAGACAAATTCATTTTTTGACATATTGTCTTCTTTGACAGATATGCTTCTTATTTTGTGATTTTTTTACTTCTTTGAATAATGTTGAGAAGTATATTTAGATTTTTTACAATATAAGTACAATCCTTTTTGACAACAATGAGTCTTTTCTTGCTTGATAAGAGGTTTAAAATATACTACATCAATTTACATATCCTCTGCTTATAAATGTATGTATTGAAGAGATGTTGGTGTTGCCATCAAATTGTAGTAATGTTGAAGCCTATTTGTATGATTCTTAGATCAAAATTTAAAAAGTCAATTGTCACATTTCACAGCAAAATCAATAGCTTGACTCAATGTTTGAAGATCAGTTAAGTTGAGCATCAATATCTTTACTTCATATTGTAATCCATAGAAAAATTGGCTAACAAATGCAACATTATCCTACTTGATATCAGTTGCAAGTCGTCAAAATTGTCAAGCTTATAACGTTACAGATCAATTACGTTGTTACAAAATATGGAACTTGTTGGTTGCAACATGAGTTACATCATGTTTTCTATACATGGACCGGAATTCTACCAAAAATATCTCTAAATTATCCAATATTATATCTTGTCATTCAAGAAAAGATAAAAACCATGATAGTGCTGAACTTGAAAGAAGTGTACCAATGAATCTAACTTATGATCCTGGAGTTACATAGCTTTGAAGTTGAAGTTCAATCAGAAGTTGTATTTGATTGATAAATCTTCAAAATTTGGATCTTGTACCATCAAACTTCTTAGGCATAGCAACTCTTGATTCTCTAATACTTGAAAGATGTTCCATCATGGGTGGAGAAACATGATTTGGTACAGATATTGAAGCAATTCTAATCATTTCTATATCCTCACTTCCTGCCATTCTTGTTGATCTTTATGGTAGTAAGCTAAGTTGATGCGTCACAAGCATCAACTCCCTCAATTATTCTTGCATTTATGTCATTGCACTCTTCATTTCAACAAGCTTTGCTATAATAATACTTAAAAAATTATCTAATACCACTCAAGATAAGTAGAAGAAAGGGCTTGAGGACAAAGAAAATACTAAGAACAATATCACTTTAGAAGAGGATAATCTGAAATTTCTAATATACTTATATCTTATCATGAGAAAGAGATAATCCACTCTTAATCAAGATAAGTGAAAGCTCTGATATTGTAAGTGTACTCTTGTCAATCTGTCAAGGACATGAACTAAAAGATGATGTATAAATCAATGAAATTCGTATCAAAGAAAGAATGATAAAATAAAAATAAAAAAATATGTATATTAAAAGAAACTGGAAAGACTTATTACCAAAAGATAAGAAAACTTGAGACTTTTGAAACTAAATTAGAAGCAAGAAAGGAAGTGACAAGATAGAAGAGGGCTTTACTCTTGTGTCTATATATACTATCTAACTAGGGGCTATGTGGCGATGTTCTATAGGACCTCCAATATGTGTTGACTTTGTAGGATACATGCCTTGACTTACAAGGCAAGTTTTTTATGTGTAGGCCACATAGTTACCTTGATCTTCAAGCTAACAACATGTGTGGCACATGGCCAACTTATTGACCATGTTTCTAACCCAAAAAGTCAATTAAAGACACCTATAAAGTCAAAGTAGAATCTATAAAGCTTCTAAGAAGCTTCCATAGAAGATATTATAGAATTAATTTATTTTTACTTACTTCTACATATTTATATAAGTAATTACTAGCTTACATGTATATATCCGTGACAATATATGGTGTAATGTATGCAAAAGACATCCAAGTCACTTTTACAAATTTAGAGGAATACATCCAAATAAAAGATTTTTGATGGAAGTCACAATTTGATGGAACATAGCAGTCTTTTATAGCAAACAATGAGCAATATCATCCTACTACTCCCTACAAAGGAAGTTAAGGCATCATCCTACTAATGCCTATAAAGGAAGTTGAGGATTTAGAAGGAACTAAGGACGATTTAATAAAAGATTTTATTAAAAAAAATCAATGCAAGATAGCAATGAAGTCTACCAATATGATTAAAGATGACATAGCAAAGATATTTTTAATTACTATGAAAAGAAAGGGCACTAAGAACTAGATTACTTTGAAAAAAATACTCTTGTCAAGATGAATTCTTTTTCAACTTTCTAATGATAAGCATTAACATATAATAATAATAAAATTGAGAGCTATTTTCCAAGATAATCTAACTCCTACCTAGCAATTCAAAGTGATTTAGGTGATAGTGGATCTAAAAGAGGAGAAAGTAGAGATAACAATCAATTTTTTTTCATACTTGAAACAATCTTCAATAAACTAGACAATGAGTTTGGTAGCCAAAATACTTGGATTTTGGATATTGGAGCTTCATTTCATATCAATAGAAACATGCACAATTTCTTTGTACTTAAAAACTATACTCGTACTTCTAATGTCTTTATTATAAGTAGCACAAAAATGCATGTTACAAGCTCTAGATGTATTTTGATCTTTAGAAATAAATCTATATTTGATATTCTCTATATGTCAAATATAACTAGAAACTTACTCTCTATTGATAATCTGACTAATCAAAGACACATAGTTGTCTTTGATACCAAAAGTTATTATGTCATAGATAAAAAATCTCTATTAAAGGTTCATTTAAAATTAACTTGTGACCTTCCAAATAAACTCTACAAAATAAAATTTTCCTTTGTTTCTCCTCCATTTTCTTTGCACATTTCTTGAAGCTCATTCATACTTCATCCAAAGGCCTCTGCTTAGTGTAATCTAGTAGAACCCACACTCTCCAAACAACAATTGTGGCATCATCTTTTAGGTCACTCTAGCAATGACAAAATTGGATACATGTACACCAAGAAATTAGCAGATGGCATTCATCTCATTCCATTTCTAAAGAAAATCTACAAAACATGTGTGAAAGGAAAGAAAATCAGACAACTAATATCTAAGGCAGCCGCATTTTGAGCTACTAGGCCATTGGAGTTAGTGCATTCTGATCTATGTGGCTCTCTGCTAGTGCTCTCACATGTGGGATCTTGGTATGTCATCACCTTCACTGATGACTTCTCAAGGTACACATGAATCTATTTTTTGAAATTCAAGAATGAGGCACTAGAGAAGTGGCAAATATCTCTCCCAGCTATTCAGTGAATTTTGTCAAAATTTTGGAATCACTCGACAATTGATAATTGCTCGAAAGCATTTACAACATGTTTTTCAGCAACGTGTCTGCATTGCACCTCTAGTTGACTTTGTTGATGATGTTCAGCTTCATATTGCTCCATCAAATCCCCTATGGATTGCCGCCATGCAAAGTGAGATGAATGCACATTTCAAAAATGGTACTTGGAAATTGGTCGAACTTTCCCCAGGAGAGAAAGCATTGTTAGCACGCTGGGTTTTCAAGGAAAAGATCGACCATGAAAGAAACATTAAATTCAAAGCTAGAGTTGTAGTATGAAGAAATGAGCAAAGAGAGGGTCTTGACTACAAGAAAACTTTCACCTTTGTAGTGAAGTGGTCGACAGTCAAATTAATTGTTGCGTTGGCAACTTCATTTGGGTGGTTCCTATCTTATATGGATATAGTGACGGCATTTCTCAATGGAACTCTGAAGGAAACTATATACATGCTTCAGCCTCCTGGCTTCTCCAGCCCGGGCAAAGAAGATTTAGTTTGTCGTCTCAAGAAATCCATTTATGGACTCAAACAGAGTCCAAGAACATGGTACGAGGAGGTGGATTCAGCCTTGCAATGAATTAGATGCAAAAGAAGTTCACTGGATCCAAATTTATACCTTCTTCAAGAGGATGGCAAAACAATAATTTTGTTATTAGTTGATGATCATCTAATTACTAGAAACTATGAAGAGCTCATTGCAGACCTGAAGCAGCAGCTCAAATCTAAGTACGAAATGAAATACCTAGGTCCTGTCAAGAGGTATCTTGGTGTTGACTTCCATTCATTGCAATCAGGCATTTTCCTACATCAAAAGTTATATGCAGATCAGATTGTGCTAGACTATGACATGCAAGACTGTTGCTCAGTTTCCACACCTCTCCCTAAGGAATTGGAACTGTCAGCTGAGATTAACATGTCTGCTTGGAGGAACTTGTGTCTGAATACTAGGAGATCGACTGGCGGGTATGTATATCAAATTGCTGGTGGACCTATCACATGGAGCAGCAATAGGCAACCTACCATTTCTTGCTCCACCACTAAAGCAGAGTATTGAGCGTTGTCTGATAAGGCACAAGAAGGGTTTTATCTCAAGAGGCTAATCGAAGAGCTTCAACAATCAACACTCCCTGCCACTAAGCTTCACTGCAAAGATTCTGACATCAAATTTAAATGTTTACTTTATATCAATTATTTTATAAAATATTTTTTATAGATTAATAGGTAATATTATTGTGGGTATTAAGTATCTTTGTAGGTTTTATAATGAATACAGTCAATGAAATTGATAATAATATGAGTTGTTGCATCAACTTTGTTATTTTTCTAACAAGTCAGAGAAAAAGAGGTTTTAATTTTAAAATGCTTCTACAAGTTCATGTTACATAGTTGTATATTATAGATACAAAAAAATAGCTGTGTTTTTAATTTTAATTCATTGTATCTTAAACCCTATCAAAAAAAATAAAAATAAAAATAAAAAATAATTAATTTCTGATTAATCACTTCAAATTCTTCAACTTCAATCGTATAAACTAAAAAAGATCATTTATTTTATTTTTTCTATTTAATTTAAAATAAACTCTATATGATGACCACATCATTATGTAATCAAACATAAAAAGTAATATAATTATTGGTAGTTTAATTGATAATTGAAATTTATGATGAGTAACATTTTAAAATATAACAAAAAATATAGGGACAAAGAAGTTAAATTAAATTAAAAGAATCAGCTAATAGTTGAAAATTAGATTTCAAATCTCTTCCACTCCTTAAAATATAGAACACATCACAAATTGTACTAGTATTAAGAGCCTTATTTTCATGTTAAAATATATGTATGTATGTTTGTATTTATATTTATGTGTAATGATGTACAATATAATAATGAATCACAATGCAAACAATTGAACTAAGAACCATACAGACATCTTTCATCAACAACTCGCAAAAGATAAATATAAAATTAAAACATACACTCAAGCAAATATATATATATATATATATATATATATAATTCTCTATTTTCAGATTACTTCCCTGCTCAACAACCTATAAAAAAAATTACAAATCATGCCATAAATTTATTATATCAAGCAGACAAAAACACACAAAACATATATATATATATATATATATATACATATGTAAATATTATCTGACAACCGTTCTAGTTATACCAACAGAAACTTACGGTTGTGAGTTGTCACATGCATCATTCAATACTGCCAAGCTTCTTTACACTCCACAGAACAAGCAGAGCATGACAAAGGACATGAGGAAAAATTGTAGCACTCAGTGCTCTGCACAAAACATGCATGCATGCAGAGGAAGTCCAGGTTTAGGGTTTAGGGTTTAGAACAAGCAAGCAAGCTTTTGCAGCACAGCAGCAGACCAGAGAGGGACGGAGGGAGGGGCGGCACTGTGGCGAGAAGCCCTCTCAGGCATATGCACACACAGCTGGGAGATGGGTGTGGGAGAGTGACTGTGCAGCAACCCATCAACACCCCAACCCAGTGAACTCTCACTCACAGTAATTGTAGAGACAGACACAAATATATCCATCATTAAGGGTGTTGAGGCTTTTAACTCCCCCCACCTCTTGAAGCCCAGATTTGCTGTGTGGTAATGGTGCTCTATCACTGTCTCCATTTATGTGTTTTTTCTGGGCTGTACCAGTACACCGAAACCATGCCAGATTAGCTCCGACAATGATGTCACAGGTATCCAGGAGACATAACTACCACTAGATTACCAGGTAATAATCCAAGCATGTGGAAGGACTATATTGACAAGTGTTGGAGTGGGACTGGGGAGATGCATCGGCCACCTCGTTACTTCTGATGTTCCAGCTCAACTTGGTCCTAGCATGGAGGAGTAATTCAGACAGAGGCTTTCAGATACTGTGAACCATAATGCCTTAAAAACAGGAAACTGTCGATGAAAACAGCTGGTGGAAGTTAAGCTGCTTTGAGAGTGGTATTGCAGAGGTGTAGAGAGTGGAACAATATGCTGGTTTCCCTTTCTCCTAGCATGAGAGGTCTATCAAACTGAGATTTCCAGATGTGATCCTAACACTAGTGAATGGCACGAGAGAGTAACCAGTACAAACGAATTTAGAAGAGAAATTATGAAAGACTAGCAGAAAGTAGTAATCAATAACACTCCAGTTCAGAATACCTTTAGTCAGAATGGCTAACATCCATACACAGAAATCTTCGTCTCTATTTCATGAGAGCCACATTCCAAAGACTGGTAATGTGCGTAGAGAACTGAAGATTTATTCACATAAGCCTAAGGCACAATTTTTAGTACAACAACTACTGCTTCTAAATGGAGCCATCTGAAATAATGGTATATGGTAATGAATGACCTGATCACAATGAATAGTAAGTGTTTGCAGCGTGAAGGCTGACAATCCCTACTGGAAACACTTCAGCCGCTGCCTTTATATTACCAGCAATTCCACATTCCAAGCAGCTTGCCTCAACCAGAGAAAATATGCAGCTCTTGAAGAATCTCTCCATCCCCAACACACTTGGATGATTAGTCACACTGGTGCTCAGCACCTTTCACCAGCTCAACACGTGATTTTACGATTCCCGCTAAAACCTCAAAAAATTGATACACAGCAGTAACCAGGAGAACTACCCTAGAATCGAAGCTAGCACACCTGGCTGCCCTCAAGTTGCCCATTACCACCAGCGGTGAAGAATGTAGATTGTTTTGGAACCCCTGTTCTCAGGATAACAAAGGTTCCAGCAAATAGATATTTAGTCGCCCCACCTAATAGAAGCAGGTTGAGGAGACTTCTATTGTCCACATCTTCATCTTGATCACAAGTATCAACTTACTTGCTCTCCGATAAGATCGAGACCAACCACCAAGAATGAGATGCCCTGAAAAAGGAGAAAGTAGAAGTGAACTCCCTGCGCGGTGAGCAAACTTCGTGCAGAAGCTGTAAGCAGCAAGAAAGCCAGCGCCAATTCCTTGCGATACAACCTGTTCTTCTTCTTCGCTGGTTCTGGCTCATCACTAACCGAGGGAAGTAGAAGAGGTTTCAGCTTCGCATCATTCGACTTAAATGCATCAAGATCAGACTCGGACATGGCTTTCTCCAGAGCCGGGTTAGGATTCGCTACTTCTTTACCCACGACCAAAGAATCTCCTTCAGAAGCTCGCCCAGTCTTTTTGGTAACCACCCATTCATGTGAACTGCTAAGTTGAAAGAGACCAGATATCATAGCATTGAACTTTGTCACCGACATGGTATTCTCAAACAGAAGGTAAGGGACCAAGAAAGGAAATGACTTCGGTGACGGCAAGACGTTCAAAATTGACATGAGTGCTGGAATGTAGCACACAACCCAAATTGGCAGAGTTGCTTCGGGCACAAACATAGTCATTGGGAGGATGATGCAGAAGAGTGTGAAAGAATAAAATGGCAGAATAAGCTTCCTCAGAAGGAAGAAGAGAAATATCATGTTGGCTTTCTTCATCCAAGAGATCTGCCCAACGCCAAAAACCAAATACCCTGTTAGATTCATGGTACATTTTCGAAAATGCCAACACCGGAAAAACAGAAAAATGCAAGACTATGCGGGGGTGATTCTGTCACACACCTTTGAACGAATGATGTCTGGAAGACTAAGTCGAAATAGTTGCATAGGGCCAGAGTGCCACCGATGTTGCTGCTTGCGATACGCCTCATAAGACTCCGGTAATTCACAAAGACACTGAAATACAGATTACCGAAACGCCAGTAAGTGAGACTATATTAGAGGTACGAACACGAGATCCTTAAAATGCACAATGATAACGACGAATGCCGACAAACAGGAACCCAAATTTATAAGACGATTACTTATTGGACAAGAAATATAGAAAACGCATGATCACTGACCCGAACGTCGTTTAAGAAGATGAACTTCCAGCCCTGCAAATGAGCTCGAACAGCAATATCCATGTCCTCCACAGTCGTCCGTTCCAACCAACCACCAGACTCCTCAAGTGCTTTGATCCTCCACACCCCTGCTGTGCCGTTGAAGCCGAAGAAGTTGATGAAGGCACCATTCACCTGCTGCTCTACTTCAAAATGGAAAGAAAGATTTATATTCTGAAGGCGTGTGAGTAGATTTTCATCCTTGTTAACAAACGACCAACGGGCCTGCACAAGCGCAAGCTCTGGATTGTCCTGCAGTCACCAGCACATATTTATTCTTAGAAACAAAAGACACAGATTTCTAAAACAAACAGCTTCGGAAACGAAATGGAACAAAAACAAAACAACCACAAGTCTGTTGTGAAAAAACAAGTGCAAGAGCTTTTTCAAGAACATTCTCTACCAAAGTTAAACTAAACTCCAGGTGATAAGAACAAAGTCCTGAAATGAGCACAACAATTTTTTACAATTCACAAGCGCATCATTGATAATGCATGAGGATCGGGCACCCGTAAAGAACACTGGATTAATCCGTTGCTGAGCAGAACCTAAGGCTTACCCTAAAATGAGGAACCGTGCGTTTTAGAAAATCGGGCTTGGGCTGAAAGTCTGCATCAAAAATAGCCACAAACTCATAATTCTTAACATATTCGCACTGCATGGCTGATTTCATGTTGCCAGCTTTGTATCCTGTTCGGTCAACTCGGTGCCTGTACACAATGTTTACTCCTTTCTGATGCCATTTGTTCACCTCGCCTTTGATCAAAAAGCGCGTCTCCACTTCCGATGAATCGTCTAAAACCTGAATCAGTATGCGACTTTTTGGCCAATCAAGCTGGCAAACCGCTCCTATAGATTGCTCATATACCTACAAGGAACCCCCCCCCCCAAAAAAAAATAACTCTTTAATGTTTTCGTTCACATTGATTTCAAATAAACCACTGAAATATTGCCGCGGGAAATGAGTTCTGAAGCATTGCAAGTATACTCTTCAATCGAGTAGATTTCAATTAACTCTTGCAGATCTTCACGAATCCTGTAAGAAAACTATGGTATAAATTCATACCCTTCCTACGTTCAAAAGGCAGAAATGGATCAACTATCTCAACCGAAATCACGTTTCATTGGTAAAAGTAAGAGAACAAACCATCAGATACAGTGTTGAACTACGTTAGAAAATAGACCGACTCCAATTGGTATGCATGAAGATCGAGAAATGTTACAAACCTCCCGCTCGTTGCACATAGGAATCTGGATAAGAACCATTGGATGGCCGCTGTCGGGATTCTCGGCGTCGTCAGATTCAAGAGATGGATTGACGGGAACAGGCTTAATGTTCTTCCACTTGATGTAAACACACCCGAAAAACAACACAATTCGATCGACGGACTGGATGAGGAACAACCAGATGCAGAAGTTCGTCAATGTTTGAAGCGCAGGAGCAACGTAGTGAGCCCGAGTGTACATCCACCCAACATAAACAGCGTGCGGAATATCTCGAATGCCAGTGGAAGAAGGCCAGTGAGGCGTTGTGAAATGCCAACCCAGGGCATGTGCTCCTACTTCCACGCACAACATTAGAATAGCAAACATCAAGAAAGCTGCAATGGCCTTGAACAACTTTCCCTTGCTTTTATCTGGCTGAGCCAATCCTTGACCAAGGATGAGGCGTTTCTTGATCGCTGCGAGCAACAACATTACACCGGAGGCCAGCCAAGCGACACAACCCGCAGCTTTGTGTGCTTTGAGAAGCAGTACCCATGTTAGCTGTTTCGCATTCCCTTGCTTCCCTTTATTTTGGTGGTCCTCAAAACCAGACTTGGTTGGGCTCTCAATCTCGAGCAAGGAATAGTTTGGGTTCTCCATCTTCACAACCACCGGAGTCCCACGATGCTTCTCCTTGCTCCACCAATCAACAAAATCAAACTTCGCAGTCATCCCGACAACCTTCCGTCGCCAAGTTTATAACACTCTTGAGTTCGACCCTATTTTCTGTGAACACCTTGAAATGGACAACAGTCGACACTTACGACCACGCTGCTTCCGTCAAAAATAAAGCAGAAATGTGCACGAGATCAAGTAAAGAAACACGCATCGTGGCGCATTTTCGACAATTGCAAGTTTCCGAAGTTCAATGCTGCCACTATCAACGTATGGTAGCTACGGACCTAAAGAGTGAAGTTTTGGAGAGGCCCTCGTCCGGATATTGGAACACTGACCAAGAGATACTAGCAAGAATTGGTGCCACTATACCCACTCGCTCCCGTCACACAAATCACCTTGGACAGTGGGTCACTAGTGAAAAAGTGCGCGCACCGTAAACGACAACGATGAAATTTATGCTAGTGTTCAAACCACCGGAAACATGCTGCATCCTAGCGCAATCACCTGGGGACAAACTACCCACAGCAGCATCAACTACCGACACACAAACAATGCTAACCACCAAAGCAGCCTCCCCATGTATCCAACATGCACACACCAACTACAATCGCTTCTCAAGAAGGTAGAACTGCAGCAGCAGCACGCTCACTTCAGGTATGCAACTGCAGCTTCAAAACTAGCGACTTTGCTGCTCTCCACCTTTCAATGCAGTCACGGGGACCGAACTCAAGGGGGCGATCAAAACTGCGATCTCTCACTCCCGGTCATAATCCTCAATCCAGAACAAGGATCGATCACCATTGCCTCCTAATCCCCACCCTATAATCTCAATCTCTCCATATCTCTTCCTGTCAGAAAACCTCACAAACAGTCACCCGGAGCTACAAACACGCAAAAACAAAACTACAAACAACAACAACAACAACAACAACAAGTTCACAAAGCCACGAAATCAAGATCTTTCAAGTCTGCACACACGCCCTCTGCCACCCTGCAACGCCATGTACCGAGTGCGAGGCCACCACAGCCCACGAGCTACAGTACGCAGGCAGATGATGGCCTCGACAACCGCCTCCCCTCTCTCGCTCCCACTCTCTCACTCTCTCTCACTTAACTCCCCAGTTCCCAACTCAAAAATCCCTCACTAACCACTCGTTGGGATGCCCTCCCTATTTCCCCTGCGCTGCGTCGTCATCATCGTTGTAATCGTCGTCGTCGTCGTTGCCGCCCCCCTCTCCTCTTCAATCCTGAGCTGAAGTAGTAGCGGCACCACCACACCACTCTCCCACGACGACGCCGCCAAGTCCAAAGGCCTCGCTCGCTCGCAGCTAGCTGGCGACGACGATGGCGATGGAGGGTGGCTGGGAGCCTGACAAATTTCTTCGCCCACACTCCCTCAATCACTTTCGATTCTTTAGGACTGTCTACAGCATGAGTGATACCCGCTTCTTAATAGGACCCTGGTCGCCGGATCGAAACTCTATGGCTACAGTCGCCGCTGAGCACACGAGGCGAATGCGCGCGGCGGTGGCCACGTCTCTCACACTCTCTCACACTCTCTCCTTCTGTCTTGTGCCCACGAATGCAGCCGTCTACTGTCTAGCCACAGTAACAAGGCGTTGATTAACTAGAAGAACAGGTCCTCCTCTCGAGCCGGGTGGGTCCCTTCCATTCCTACCGATATTAGGGGTCTTCATCCGCCACCCGCGATTAATCATAGGCGGGGGCTTTGAGCGAGAGTGAGAGAGAGGAATTAGGAGATGCTAGGTGTGCCACAATGCAGTAGCGCTTCGAGGATTGCATTCGAAGTGGCGATTGGGAGACCAGGGTGTGTGGAGTTGCTGTTGACGAAACCAAGGGAGAGATTGATTAGATATGAGGGGGGGTTGGAAAGGTCCTGCGTGTATGTAGGGTTGTCTGTCTCGTTATGAGCCGTTAGCCCCGCTTCCGGGACTGCAGGTTTGACTGCCTTTTGCTATAACCTGCCCGATTCGGTGTGTGAGGGCGGACTCTGGTTACACCCAAGGAGATGAATGAACTTGCTGCCCCGATTGTGTGCGTCAGATCTGGAGGTCCTGTGACGGTGTTGTACTTGTCTTGTGACGGTAAGCCAAAAACAATAAGTCTGGAAAAATCAAAGGAATTAACAACAAAAATAAATAAAAATAAATAAATAAATAAATAAATATCTGATCACTGTGCTTAATGTGCCACTAATACAAGGAACACGGGAGATGATGGTTGCGGAAACGATTAATTGGGATTATTTTAATCCACTATCATTCTGTTTAATAAAAAATCGTGGATAGATGGGAAAATAATTATTTGCTTTTATTCCTATGACTCCTGTGAGATTAGAATGGAGCTGAGAATATTGTCCCGAAAACCAACCCAAAAAGTCACAAATTAGTAATTGTTTTGCATGTTTGTTGTCATGTAATCAATGACTGTGTGATTAGAAACCCATCCAGGGGAATTGTCTTGTGATGAATAATTTTTTGGATGAAAAGAGTGTGAAGTGATGTGAGATGGGTAAATGAATGATAAATTACATAATTTTGCTCTGCATGGGTGTAAATCTCACCTGTTGTTTATCTGGCTTTGCATTGCTGTATGCAAAAAGGTGATTAGCATGCTTGGAATCTGAGCTGGAGTGTTATCATTGGCCCCATGTTTGAGTTAGAATATGTGGGATGTGTTTCAGCTACCAATCTTGAAAGTATAGTTTTAATTTTATCTTACCTTTTTGTGATTTTTTAAAAAGGGGGGGGAGGGGGGGTAGAAAGAACAGTCAATGGCTGCATGAAGCTTAATTTTATTTATTTATTTAATTTTAAGTTTCATAAAATAACTACACTTTTTTGTGGAGGTGGACTGCGTGAAGGGAGATGCATGAGCTACTTTTGTGAGAAAACATGAGCTGAGCTGTGTGTGATAAGTTACAGTGTGTGGTTTGTTTGTTTAACTAAACAAGAAGTAAAAGAGTGAGAGAAGACTTCGGTTGAGAAACATGTGCCAGTGTTTTGCATTAAAGATCATTCAGCTGACAAATATCTATCCCCACAACCACAAGAGTGGTAGACATTAGTTGGTCAGCCAAACACACAAAGACCAAAACATTACACTAAATTTACTGTAATTTGCTGAAGATTAACTATGCAAAACAATGACAACAAGTCCTCAAATATTGGTCAACAACTACAACCATTGATGCATATTTCTAAATTAAGAACACTGCTCAACATTTCATCCTCTCCAGAGAATTTTGATGTTACAAGACATTAAAGAGACATATGATTCTTATAACATCATATAATTTTGCATTCTACCTCAATCAAACTATACCCACAGACTGGTTAGTGTGGAGTTTAACACAAGCCATGCTTATGAATAAGTTGACAGCCATGCTTATCAGGAATCATGCCTTCAGGTTCCTTTGACAAATTCCCTCATGCTTTGAAGCAAATCCCACATTTCTATTCTTAGCCATACAAATTTACCATGTGTTTTTGTGTTTCACCATGATTTATGCTGCACATTGGAGTAATGAATATGGTAGAAAATCCTCTGTGGTGACAGCTCAAAGGTGATTGACTGAGTTTGTTTGTTTATTTCCTATTTTTGTGGCTGCAACTCAACAAGGGCCCCTTTTTTATCACTATTTCCCTTGCTTTCAAGGCTCCACATATTTGGTATAATAAACAACTGGCCCTTGACCCACTATTGAGCAAACCAGGAAGAATATGCATAATGAATGCCCCTTCAGAGTCAATGCTTTGCCTGTGTGTCAACGTGGATAGGGGCCAAGAGAACCAACATATTCCAGGTGAAATTATGAACACTCTTGTATAATTTCCTGAACTTAAGTGCACTAATGCATCAATTAGTGATGGACTCAATAGGACAAAGTTTGGGATCCCCAATCTGGAAGACTGATTTTGGCCCTGGAAGAACAAAGGAAGACTGATTTTGAGTGGACAAATTAAGCTCATTACATGTAATCATGGAGTTCATTGTTCACCATTAGCTGTTGAAACTTTCTTCAACTAGAGGGCATAAATCATCCATACATTACTACAGGAAACAGTCTTCCAGATATAAATATAAATATATATAAACCACAATAAAATAATAAAAAACTTACCTAGTACAGGTAAAACGTCTTTTTGCATTTACTTCTGAAGACTTCATATTGAGTTCAAAACCAGTAGCTTCAATTTGTCCAAAAGACAAATATGTCAATTTAATGATCTTTTTATTATTGTTGAATAGTTGTATATATTTATTGACTTATTTGTGTGTTTATATATATTCTTTTGACACCTTGAATCTAGTCCGAGGTTGACCCTCAGAAAGCAAAAACTAGAGAATTTTAGTGTGGCTTGAAAATAAATCCCTTCCTATTTATTTGTACCTGGTTAGATTTGGCCAGTTGTCGCAATATTTGTGATAAGGAAAGAAATAAAGAAAGGGAAAAATGAATGAATGAATGAAATAAACACCACTTTAAGGCAAACAAAGGGACTCCTTTTTGATATAGTGTTGGTTGCAAGTCCTTGTCAAACTTTTTCTCTTCTTTTTTCCTTTGTTAATGTTTTCATTGGGTACCACTGCACAGTATATTGAGTTGATGGTATTTAATAACATCAATGCTTGTAAATGCCATTGGGGATTATTATACTGCTCAATTACACTATGAAGTAAGTAAGTAGGTTAGTTCATTAGTTGTGACCCTTCCTTCTTCAATTTTTGATGATGCTCTGCCATGGAAGTGTGGTGGTGGCTTTGTAGTAAGTAGTACAGTGGTGCCAAATTTAGTTTAGTTCAGTGGCAGCAATTGTGGGATAATACACTTGAGGAATGAAGACAATTTGTGTTTAGATAGTCGGTGGATTTGTGGGTACAACAACACTGCATCCTCCCCTCTTTAGCAGAGAATGTAACACTAGCACATGTCATTTGCACATTGGCAGCAATTAATTATACATACATATATATATATATATATATATATATATATATATGTGTGTGTGTGTGTAAATAATGTGTTTTTGTTGTCTATAGATTGTGATGTAAAAATTCATATGGTATTGTTGTTGTTGCTTTGTGAATCACAGTTCACACTTTCTACAAAGTTGGCATCCAAGGTTGGAATCAATCCACTTAAGGATTTTGTTGTTGTTGTTTTTTTAATGTCTTTCCAAAGTGAGTACTGATGATGTAGAAGGTGTAATATCAGGAACTGGATATTGTCTATATTGGATGATAAGTGACAACCTTGGTACAGCAATACTACAACAACAACAGCAATAATAATAATAATAATTGAAGATTTCAGTTTGGATTTGAGACAAAATTGTTATTGCCACTGAAGTTGGTTTAATGTTTGTTTGTTTGTTTGTTTTTTTTTTTTCTTTTTTTTTGCTCCTCAAATTCATTGTAAGGTGATCTTAGTTGACAAAGAGCATGGAGTTCATTCTCACAAAATCAGTAAGCAACTTCCCAATTTGATTATCAAATTAGTCAGTTGAGTTTTAGGAGCAGCTGTTGAGTCCAAAGTATACTAAGCTTCATATGCACTTTGATGTGAATACATGACAGACTTTGGACAAATACATGTCTACACTGGTGTGTGAGTATTCAAGTATGCATAGGCATTTGACAAAACACATACTTGTGTGAAAATGTATGAACATTCTTGGTGATCATCTCCTACTTGTCATAATTCTAACTTTTATTTTTCTGCATATCATTAATGAGATTAGATACAAAATCACATTACTCAATTTAATATTTTTCAATGCCTTCTTCCCAGCAATACCAGTTCCAAGTATTAACAAAGTAATAAAAATCAAAGTAACATATTATAATGCAAACCTCTTTAACCCACAAAGCAAAATGCTAGTAGCAATGACAGTGTTGTGATAAACACATGTTTTGCATCCAAATTGGCAAAGGAGCATATTTGCATTGTGCACATAATGCACATCTTGCACTTCAAAGTGTGGGAGCAATCAACTACTAAAGTGGAGCATATCAAAAAAAATACACAGGTGTTTGATTTTTGACGAATGTTGTTGCCACTTAAAGGTCTCAACATAGTATATGAAAAGCCTGGAAATTGTTGCATACTTTAGGCTTTACATTGCTGATATTAATTAAAACTCATAAGCTTCTAACCAAATGAGCTACTATTATGCACAACAGAGATCCCACAACTATGCACTTCCATGCACCAATTCTCTATTTCACTTTGCTCCAAGCACTACTCATTGTTGCCCCTTGTAATCTGAAGAAGTAGATTATACAGTAAAGCAAACAATATTTGTGTTAGTATTTT